TTTATTTTTGCATGTTATCACTGTGCCCGTTTTTTGCTTTTATTCTTTGTTCCGCAAAGTGCGCTCTTTTAGTTTGTAGTGATGTGACAATATATATATATATATATTGTCACTACCAGACGGCTTGAAAGTTGCCTCTGTGTGTGCATGCGTGCCTGTGTGTGTGTGTGTGTGTGTGTGTGTGTGTGTGTGTGTGTGTGTGTCCCCTTTCACTCTCTCTGTCTTGCATCCCTGCTCTTCTGCAGACTCCATCCCTCTTAACCTTCCGAGGTTCTGCCTTCAGCCCATTTGTCTCTGTTGAGCATGTTGTGATCTGCCTTATGAAATGCATTTAGGATGCCCTTGGATGTTGGTGTATCCTCTTAGGCTATGGCGGAGGTGCGCAATCCGCTTGATGTCAGGGATGCTTGGGGAGTCATGCATTCTGCAAAATGCTAATATTAGAAACGACGGTGAATTTCGTTCTCTCTTCTCAATGCATGACAGTGGGTGGGAACTACTCTTTATTGGAGCTGTAGGAAAATCCGCGCAAATAGGACTCCGTACTTGGTTACCAGACGCTATGGAGGGCCCCTGTTTTCAAAAGGCATAGCCTTTTGGATCAAACCGGCCTCACCCCTCGCACCCTTGCCTGCCCCCTCCGCCCCCTTAAAAAAAAAAAAAAAAAAACACCGGGGAAGATCAAACCGGACTCGGAACGAGTCGATGAACAGTCAGGGATATTGAACTGAAAGGTTGAGGCAGGCTGTAATGACACTGTCCTTTGTGTGTGTGAAGTTTCTTTTCGAGGGGGAAGATTTGCTAATTTCACTTCCTATTCGCTTTTCTTTTTTCTTTTTTTCTTCTCTGTCCATGCTCATTTCTTTGTCTTGGTGATACGGGGATGTAATAACAATGCAAACACACATGAGAAAGGAAAATGTCAGTGGTGCCAGAGAATACTGCGGAGAAGTTGGGATTCTTTTTCTTTTTGTATGTGTGTGTTTGTGTGTTTAATGTTATGGCGCGGCGCAGAGTGAAGAGGTGTGGGAATTTGACGAGGGTATGTGTGATATGCTCAAGGGATATCGCCCTAGCCAGCGACTGCCGAGCTGTTTCATTTGTCAGCGACCATTTCTTGATTTATGCGTGTCATGCTCGTGCGGGGGCCATGCCGGTCTTCTTTGTATCGTTCCAATCGTAACGGATGTTTGGGAGGAGAAGATGTAAGTCTTTGTTGAGCTGGAAAAGCAGAATTTATTATTTAATAAATTTATAGCTGCCAGTTCTGCCACCTAATTAAAAAGGAATACGATCTTCTCCAGGAAGAAATGTGCACTGTGGATTGAAAGACGGATTTGAAAGGAGAACTTGCATACAAACAGGAAATGGACAAGAGGAGGCGGAATGAAAGGTCTGCCTTTTTTTGTTTTTTTGTGGAGTGAGCAGGGCCATCGGATCTCAATCTCTTGCGTATCTGCTGTTCATTGAGACAACCATGCCTGCTTACCATGCTTGGAACGGTGGCATTGGAGAGGAGTGCTGGTGTACAGATGAAGGGCCCGGGGGCTTTGGAAAATGCAAGGGGTCTGCCAAGGCCGAACAGGCCTGGGTGGGGTCTCAGTGGATGAGTGGGTGTCACATTGTGGGAGGAAGAGGAGCAGGGAAGGGGAGAGGATGTGGATGGAGTAGCGAACAAGAGTAGTGTTTGGTGACGGGATGAGCGGTGGTGACGATGATGATGACAGTGACGATGATGATGGTGATGATAATGATGATGATGATGGTGATAGTGACGATGACGACGATGACGATAGTGGTGACGATGTTTGCCTGACAATACCAGTCCTGTCCCTGCTTGTTTGTGCTCATGGCGGTAGAAGAATGGGAACATGAATGGCAAAAAGGAACATTCATTCTTGATAGAGAGTAATGCTGAGGTGTCTGGATGTCAGGCATGTGGGGTTCTCACTTGTGGGCAAGGAGGGATGCTAAAGAAGACGAAGAAGACAGGGGAATAAACGTTTTGAGATTGCTGAGGAGAGGCTGTGGAAGGAGAGAGATGATGATTAACCTGAGAGAGAAAGCAATGGCAGTTGGTGGTAGATCCTTTCATGACATCCCAAAGCACCG